TTTTAAAAAGCTAAAGTGGATAGAGAGAAATACTTTTAACTGATGGTATATGGATGGGATTATAATCAATGTAATGAAACAAGTTATATGAATGGTTGAATGTGAAACTGATGAAGTGACCTCAATCCTCAATAAACTTTCACTCAATCCCCAATAAAAACCTTAAAAAAAAAAAAAAAAGTGGTCTGGCACTGTAGGATAAACACTGGGCAGCAAGGTCAGTTTGACTCTAAAGGTCAGTGGTTCAAGATCAAAAGCCGTTCCTCGGAAACCCTAAACAGGTTGCTATGAGTCTGAACCAACTTGACGGCACTTAACAGCAGCATCAACAACAACAAGGTGGTACTATTTGTAGACAAAATATATGCTCGGTTTTGGTTTGCCCTACTGATAAGTCATTTGAAATTTCTTGAGTTTTCCATCTGTTTTTAAAACTACAGGAATAATAATAACCATTGAATGGTAATTTCAAACTGCTGACTTTACAGTTAGCAGCCTGACTCATAACCCACTATGCTACCAGAACTTCTTAATAATAAATAGGAGTAGTGTCTATTATGCCTCCCAGAGATATAAGAAATTTAACACAGTACATTTTAAAAAGGATGTATTGTAACTTTGAGAATTAATAAACTAAGCTAGAATATGTAAATAAAATGTATTCTAACGTAAAAAAAAAAAAAAAAGAAGAAGTTAAGAGCAGTCTACATGAGCCATGGCCTCATCTACGCTGGGACTGGAAGAACAAGACGGTACCCTGCTACTACTACCAACCATCATGATCTGGGTCACAATAGATGGAACCTAGTAGAATTGGGGTGTGTGTGTGCAGGAATGTGGAACAGAACCTTAAATTCTTTAAAAATCCAGATGTTGTGGACTGGTTGAGACTGGACGACTCCCCAAGACTATTTCCCTAAAATACTCTTGAAACCTGATAATCTTGAAAACAATAGCAGCAGAGGTAACCTTGGAGCTAAATAACAAATTGGCTAAAAAAAATAATGAGTAAATTTATCAAATAAAATAATTATTTTCATAAGCTTTAAAAAAATCACTTATATGTCACAGGACAGTCAATTATTTCTTTAAAACAAAGATGAGAAGGTAAGGGGACAGGGTACTTAGATTATATCCATATGTATAGGGGGCTAGGGTTCCAACACATATTTTTGGAGGACACAGTTAAATCCCTAACAAGGGGTCAAATGAAACTTGTGAGAACATGTAATTAAAGCTGCTTGCAGTGATAAGAATAACAATCCTTTTTCTCTAGGAAAAATAAACAAAATACTTCTATTGTGCTTCAACTATTATCTATTTGAATTTGCAATCTGACTTACCCTAATCAATACAGTGTACTCCTAAAGGATTTCCCACCCCCCAATTATTCCACTATTGCAGGGGTGGGGAAACTTTTTTCTGTTAAAATGTGTAGCATCATTCACAGACCATATCAAATTATCAAATTATCAACTCAAAAACGAGCCTGCTGTATTTGTATTTGATCAAACATTTACAAGTAGGGCTGCTAACCTCAAGGTCAGTGGTTCCATACTACCAGTGGTTCTGCGGGAGAAAGATGAGGCTTTATGCTCCCGTAAAGATTTACAGCCTCGGAAACCCTGTACAGGGTGACTATGAGTCGGAACCGACTTGACAGCACTTAACAACAACAACAAGTGGGCTGGCTGGAGTCCTGGTGTGGCACTGTGAGTTAATGCACTGGACTGCAAGGTGTGTTTGAACCGCAAAGTCGGCAGTTCAAGCTCACCACTCGCTCCTTGGAAACCCTATACAGGGTCACTATGAGTTGGAAGCGACTCAATGGCACTTAACAACAACAACATGATGGCTGGGACTGCGGTTGGCTTGGCAGGACCAACCAAATGATTTTGCAGGCCTTGTACAGACCACAGGCCAGATGTTCCCCACCCCTGCTCTACTGCCTATAGAATAACTCTTAAATTCTTGACCTATTCCAACCTGTTGTTAGGTACTGTTGACTTGGTTCTGAATCATAGTGACACTATGTACAACAGAGTCATACACTGCTAGGTCTTATGGCATCCTTGTAATCATTCTGATGTTAGAGTCCATTGTTTTTTTATTCCCCAACAACTTTCCTTCATTCATCCTTAACCCATACCAAACCCAGTGCCACTGAGTCAATTCCGACTCATGATGACTCTATATAGGGTTTCCAAGACTACACGTCTTCACAGGAACAGACAGCCTCATCTTTTTTCTACAGAGTAGATGGTGGGTTTGAACCACCAACCTTGCAGTTAGCAGCCTAATGCTTAGCCCAATTTTATTTACTCTACACCTCTGCTATCCTGGTGTGGTGCTGTGGGATAATGCACTGGATTGCAGGGTCAGTTTGAACTGCAAGGTTGACAGTTCAAGCTCACCAGCTGTTCTTCAGAAACCCTACACAGGGTCGCTATGGGTTGGAACCAACTCGATGACTCTTAACAACAACAACAATACCTCTGCTAAACAAAATAGAACATAGTACTGTACACATTCCAAATTGACCTCTCTCGTGTTGGGTTAAATTGATTCCTTCACCTGGAATGTTCTTTCATTCCATTTCCATACACCCAAAATTTACTAGTTCTGAATATCTTCAAAAGCTATCTCTGATTCCCCCAGGTCAGAATATTTCCCATTATAAATCCTTATATAACTTTACATTTGTTTTTTTGGTTTTCCTATAAATAACCTATCAGTCTTTAACACTTCTTTTACAGAACTGGACCTCAATAAACATTTGCTAAATGCAAAAGTACATTTAATTAATGGATTAGCAATTCCCTTAAGTATTCCCATTATCATTATATTAGTAATATCCATTACCTATCTAAGCCCAACCTTTATCCTTATTGTCACAATTATCAAACTTGAAGAGCTGGGTTTGATGTGATTTTACATCTGGAAGATGTACATAGTTAGTTGGACTTGTAATGCACTCATACCTGGCAGTATCCAATTTTGGGATTCCTATATGCATAGGCAGTGAGTACCCGCCTCAGAGCAGATATGCCAGTATCACTCTGAAAGGCTGGGTGTTCAGGCAGGGAGCGTCGCAAATCACGTTCAATTTCTTCGGTAGCCAAGTTGCAGGTCCCTAAGGATTGCTCAACCACTTCAGCATAATAACCAGGATTAGCAGCCATATCATTAACAGCACCTATGAATATAACTGCATTAACATACAAAGGAAGAGGAATCGAATTCATATGTACATAAAGAATTAAATTTCATTACCTTGAGATTTAGCTTTCTGTTCAATTAATATCTGAATACCCACTCACAGAAAGGAGCTCTGGTAGCGCAGTGGTTACAAATTGGGCTGTGAATCACAGAGTCAGCAGATTGAAACTACCAACTGTTCCACTGGAGAAAGATGAGGCTTTCTGCTCCCGTAAAGATTTACAGCCTCAGAAACCCTGTGCAGGGTCACTATGGGTCGGAACCAACTCCACAGCACATAACCACAACCACCACCCACACACAGAAAGAAAAAAAAAATTCATGCTAGAATCTTAAGATCAGGACACTAATCTTATCAAATAGAAGAATATTTTCATGAGCGGGCTTTTCCTCTTAATTTCCTTTGACACTAGAGAGAGATTTCCCTTAAAGGACACACATCCTACCAAATAAATGAATTGGCTCACACAATGGATGTGTAGATCTTTAGATGAGTACACAAACGATTTATCTTCCTCTTTTTGACTATTGTGACAAGAGTTTCTCCTCGGCATGCTTATAATTTTATGAATTTATTGTTGTTGTTCAGTGCCATCGCGTCAGTTTCAAATCATAGCCACCCATATAGAGTTTCTGAGGTTGTACATTTTTTATGGGAATAGACAAACTCATCGTTCTCCTGTAGAGGAGCTGGTGGGTTTGAACTGTCAATCTTGTGGTTAGCAGTCCAGCGTTATCCTACAGTGCCACATCAGATTGCTCCTACATGCTCCTACCAGGGACATGCTTTTTACATGAATAAAGTGAATAAATGTAGTACCTGAGAAAAGCATCCAGAGCTCTCCTCTTAAGGTCTCTGGAATCCCTCTAACAACCAGATCGCGAGTCTTTTTGGTCCGGAACATGCTAACACCACGCCCACATTCTGCAAATAGGATGTTCCATGACTGTTCCTTCATCTTTTCTTTCAACTAATAGAAAAATCAGAACAATTAAAAATGGTGAGAAATTAACTTCTTGAAAATAACTTGACCATGTTCTTCAACATGAAACAATAGATCTATGGATAGCAAGAGCATATAAAGTCAAGATCAGTATTCACATGGGGTCAACCACTGAACATTTGTCATCACAAAAATCTTTTAAACCCATGGGAATGTCACACCTTTATTGTATTATTTTAAATTTTACCTAAACCCATATACAGGAGCTCTGGTAGCGGAGTGGTTATGAATCGGGCTGCGAACTGCAAGGTCAGCTGTTTGAAACCACCAGCTGCTCTGAGGGAGACAGATGAGGCGTTCTGCTCCCATAAAGATTAACAGCCTCAGAAACCCTGTGCAGGGTCGCTATGAGTCGGAACCGACTCCACGGCACATAACAACAACAACAAACCCATATACAAATGTGAAAACTATGAAACTCAGGAGGTAAAGCTTTGAACTGTCATTCTTTCTAAATCATCTTGATTCCAGGACAGACTATTATAAATAAATATATGCAATTAAAACCCAACATCCAACTTTTATCTTCATCCCTTGCATATAGAGGAATCAAAGAAGTTATAACTTTTTCAAGCACAGGAAGAAGTTGCAGTACCTTTTAGTCTGCTCTAATACATATATATTTTTTAATGTTTTATTGTGAATTATGTGATAGTTTATATGGGAGAACATTAGTTTTACATTCATCCTATTGTATAACGTTTCATTGCCATGGTTACAATCCCCTCCATGCATCATCAACCAACCAAAGGGTATACACTACAGACCTGTCCCCCGGTCGTCAGCACACAGCCCCTCTCCCTCTCTGGGTGTAAAGTCCCCAGCTGCTCCATCTCTCCACGTCATTGTCTCTGTCTCCATCTCTGATGTCACTGCTTCTCTGGGTAGGGTGCCGCCCTCCACTTGTCTCCCTTGATGGTCCCAGGGACCTCCGCTCCTAGACTGCAAAGTTAATCACTCCCCTCCTTGCCACAAAATGTCTACCTTTATATTTACAACCCTCACAATCAGTCCTGATAACAATTATTCACCATTGTATCACAAGAGACCTATCCACATTTCCTTTCATCAGTCCTGCCTAGACAGATTGGATACTACTCAGTGGAGATTCTACCTTCCTCTACGGCCTCTGAATCTAGGCTCCCTCTTGAGAGCTTGTAAGCCAGTCACTTCTTGCCTATGTAGCCCCCCCTATTTTGGGTAGCCAATGTCCAAGTTGCCAATCCCTGTCTACTCTAATCAACTGTTTTAGTCCAGGAGTCTGGGTGGTACTGTGAGCTAGGCGATGTAAGGTTGGCTGGTCAAACCCATCAGCCACTCTATAGGAGAAAGATGACATTGTCTGCTTCCATCTCAGAAACTTTATGTACAGTCACGATGAGTTGGAATTGACTCAATGTCAGTGGATTTTAGGTTGTGTTTTAGGCCATATATTTAGCATATTTCATTATCTTACCATTTTAGAATTAAGAGTCTCCAAATTCTGTGGGTGAAACACCGTCATTAAGGCTTCAGTGTTCACAGTTTTACTGCATTCTTTCTGACATGTCACAGATTGCTCCTCAAGATTATCTGATGGTTCTGTAGAGTCAGAACTAATAGTAACCTGAAAGAGAGAGTTACAATACAATTGTCCCAAATGTGTATTAAAAATGCCCACAAGAAGAAAAAATGCTACTGCTAGATCTGTCATTGAAAACCACAGTCTATATACATAATGAATATTAAAGCAGTGCCTCATAGGAGTTCAGTAAACTTATTACACCTCAAAAGAAACCAAAATACTGGAAAAACATTGAAAAGATACCATTTCAGAACACTGGAAATTAATGAAAGGCACAGAACAAACTGAAAACGGTCTATTCAGAAAAAAGCACTACACTTTAGTAAAAACAGTACTATCTGTGGCATTTGAACTTGAGGCTATTTCCAGTCTCCTACCTTGCCTAGCTCAGAGGCATGATGGCCATAAAAAGGAAGCCGTATCACAGGCAACTGAGAGCACTGATCTCTTTCTAGAGCTTCCTGAAAAGCCTTATCCCCAGAGTATTCCAGAAAACATTTTGGCCATGCTAGTAATCCCTGGGAAATCTTTCACTTGATTTGCTAAAGCTCAGTGAAAAACAGCCTTATCCCCAGGGCCTTACTGAAAACAATAGCAGTCTCCTGGTAACATCGCAGCTGCCTAATAGTATGATTTCAGTTGGAGCATATAAGAACATGCTAAAATTAGAAAGGTTCTGCTATTATCTTAGAGTTCTACAAGTATGTACACATACTTGTGCATATGCCCAAGAAGTCCCCAGGCACTCAGCTCTGGATGATTTTAAGCCTCTGTGAAAGCAAGATGCAAAAATTAAGGCTGATTTGTAAACTGCATGAAGTTTGAAGTTGTGATTTCTCAGAAAGATGCCCTTGGAAAAAGGTTGATGATTTACTAGCTCAAAGAATATACAGAAATTGATTGCTGTTGTTGTTAAGTGCTGTCAAGTCATTTGTGACTCATAGTGATCCTGTCTAAGGTTTCCGAGTGCTGGTGAGTTTGAATTGCTGACCTTGTGATTCAAATGACACTGAGTTCCAGTGCTAGCGCCACACCAAATTACTGATCACTAAATTATACTTATCTCATAAATGAAGCCAGGCTATACAAAATTAGTCCAGGAAAGTTGTTAAACAAGAAAAATGCTGGGGAAAAGATTTTATACTGGGAGTTGTTACACTCTTATATTTACTATACCATCTAGTTTTATTTTGTTTTTTAATTTACTAAATATGCAGGGGTTCCAGGTTTACAGACAAGATCCATTCTAACCATGTCTACAAAACCTTTAAGTGGGATTTGTAGGGGAGTTGAAACAGGTGCATATAGATTTTTTGTTTAAACTTTTTATTGTGAGTTGAATGAATGTTAACAGAGCAGATCATCAATTGCACATTCAAAAAATCATACACTGTTCATTTCATTTCATTGATTTCAATCCCCTCAATGTAACATCACTTACCCCATTGCCTCCTTATGTTCCTTTTTTTCCCATTCCTCCTCCTTTCCCAAACCTTTTGATGTTTTTCCTTGGATAGTGCATACGGTTCTTACTTTGTCTAACTTTAGCCTTGAAGCCTTTTCAACGACTTAAAAATGAACTGCAACAACTGATTGTGTTGCAAATAGAGGTTGGTTCAATATTTTCAAAGTGATGACAAGTACACATAAAAATGATATAACATTAAAGGGCAAGCATGAGTTATCCATACATTGGACATTTGTAATCCAGGAACTCCTCTCAGGCTGCTAACCTCAAGGTCAGCAATTCAAAACTACCAGGTGTTTCATGGGAGAAACATGAGGCTTTCTGCTCCTGAAGATTTACAGCCTTGGAAACCCTATACAGGGTCGCTATGAGTTGGAATCGACTCCACGGCACATAACCACCACCACCCTATACACTAGGGAAGTAAACAACAGAAAATGTCACTGAAGGGGCTAATATATTGGACTTCATAGATAAAAACTGTAAAACAATTGTTATAAATATATTCAAGAACTAAAACTGCATTTTAAAAATTAAGGAAAGGTCCCTGCCTTCCTCGGATGGCGGCTGTTTATGCTGGACGTGTGGCCAGAGACAGGTAAGGATCACGTGGAACCTCGGCTACTTAAGACAGAGACATTGCCATGCTGCAATGAGTCTCAATGACTGGTAAGACTGAGGAATTCGCACTGACC